GCAGTACAGCCCCCAACTTAGATTTGAAAAAGAATCAGTGGATGGCTGTTTTTTGACTGGTCGCCAGACCGCCAACCGGTCCGCCCTACTGGTCAGCTGCAAAACGGTCGGCGGTCGGGGTCGGCAGTCAGCAGGTATGCAACCCTGTCCAGGTTACTATTAACCAGCCATCACAGCAGAATAACAGAAGTTAGGGGGCCAATGATGCTTCATGACCACGGTCCCACAGGAGCATAGAAAAAGTAAAGGACAACAATGTAGACAAGTAGAAAGAAAAGAGAAGTGTGAAGGCCACCGGCGAAAGAAGTAGAAAGAAAAGAATTATGGAGGCAGAGCTACACTGGATCAGAGGAACAATTGCCCTCATGAGGCCCATGAACAGATAATTCATCTTGAGATGCAAAGAGCAGCATGCTGCCAGATCAGTACTTGCATTCCTGCTATTGACCCATCCGTTCACAAGCACTGAAGCATAGAGACTGGCAAGATGTCCTAGCATCTTTGTGCAATCCATTGCCATATATGGGGCTTTGTTGTAGCAAAGAGAAAAAGGCACACAACTGGAGATTTATCATGACGAGGGGAAAAAGGCAAGTTACAAAGATAGTTAAGGTTAACAACGAGAGTGGAGCTTCGCCATGGCTCAGAGAAAAACACAGGTGTAGCTTCCGAGTCTTCAACGGTATTTTGGTGTGTGATCAAACCTTATGCGGCAACGTTTTCAGGTGTGAAGGAAGCGCAACTTGTTTGTCAAATTGAATGAAGTGAATGCCCGGTCATTATCGCCGTATCTGGACTGACAGTTAACCCAAATACTGCTATAATGACCGGGTGTTGTATTTGGGTGAAGACGGTAGTACTAGTCTACAGAGCTCTATAAGATGGGAGAAGGGCATTCTGCAGAGAGACGGAAGAGAGAAAGAGAGAGAGAAGAGAGGAGGGGAGGGGGAGAAAGACAACCATGGTTACTATCTGCCACAGCTAGATGAATGATTTCTTTTACCCAACACCCCCTCACTTTCCACATTCCTCTCATGCATACTTGGCCCTCAACATTTGCCTTCAAGAGCAACACCCCATCATGCTACAAATGTGCGTGAGAAGAACCATGAACCGGTTCTGACTACAGTCTTCACGCCCAATAGAACACCTGGTCATTATTATAGCTTCGTTTCCGACAACTTTCAGCCTAGATCCAGCTATAATGACTGGACGTTTTTACTCAGCTGCAGACAGTAGTGGAAATTCAGCAGTGAACTGCCATAACAGAAGGAGACGGGGTTCTCATGGGTAGGTTTGGTAATATGGGGTACAAGGACTAGTTGGGTCACGGGACGAGCTCTTTCTAGGTGATATAGATCTATCTGACAGATCTGGCTATCGGATATGAGAGGAAAGAGTGAGACACGGCAAGCTAACAGTCAATCCTCCAGCCAGATGGAGAAATCAATGCTTCTCAGGGGTCCTTCGGCCAGACGGAAGGAAGCGTGGGTGCATTTTTGTTGTGAACTCTATTCTGACTTGCCGGTGGAACAGGAACCAGACTGATGCTCCCCAGAATGGAAAGGAGCCAGGACCAAAAGGCCTTGTTTTATTAAAAAAAGAAAAAAGAAAAAAAAAAGAAACAGAAGGAGACAGGGTTTGCCACCCAAAAAAGGGAGGTTTCTCGCTCCTTGTCCGCAGCTGGACCCAAAGCCAATCAAATTAACCCACAAGCAATCAAATAGGGCAGAATGCGAAGATATGAACTTACAAGGGCTATGACTGCGTCCTTGACGTTATTCCGCATTTCTTGATATACCTGCCGTATTATTATGAAAATCAGAACAAGAAGAAACACTGCGCGCAATCAACAACCCCAATGCCGTGTCATGCACAATGATGGATACACACCACGCACACGCAGAACAGGACAGGACCAAACGAATAGATAGGCATAAATGTCTCGGTTGACCATGGCTATGGCATACACACCACAGGACTACATGGAGGTTTAATGCAGGTCGGGACTGCTTCAGAGATGGAGGAAAAAAGGGACAACGAGAACAGGAACATAAGTCAAGACGACAAGCCGAAGTTATATTGGGACGTCCAAGCTGAAATTCCAACTCGGACAATGAGCGTAAGTCTCATCAAATGATAGAGATAGAGGCCGACAGAGAAAGGCCCACAAAATGTGTGTGTGTGTGTGTGCGTGTGTGCACGTGCATGTGTGTGTGTGTGCATGTGTGTGCATGTGTGTGTGTGAATTGGGAGTGGAAGGGAGATGTGACTACAACACAATTGGGTACTGAATATACAGTGGGAAGCGGCAGAGGGAAAAGACAGGTGGCAAACGGCTATATAGGGGAAGCGCTGCTGGAAAGTGGACAATGAGAAAAGATCTAGCCGGGGGAAAGGGACAAGTTTAAAGAGACAGAATTGCAACCTGAACTAAAAATAGAGAAAGTCTGAATGATGAATAGCTGCCTAGTAGAGAGATCAAGTTCACAGTTTCTTCACCGTGCTCTCCCAGAGAAAGCAGGAAAAGTGTTTCACATCTTTCCATAACGGAGGTCTGATTTCCATGTTCGATTGATGACCACACAGTACTACTTTTTTTTCCTTCTTTTTTTCTCCTCCTTGCTTTTTTACCGCACAACACTCACTTGCGATTAGAGAATACCACACAGGCCCTGAGGGAGCAATCAATGCCGTTCAGGGATCCTTCAGCCTGAATTGCAGGAGGCATGTGTATCAATCTTTTCAAGTCTTTATATTCGACGACTCTAAAAGAAGACAAAAAAAAACAAAGAGGAAAAGGAACTGTACCAATGCTCCCCAGAATGGACACGGAGCCACACCCATAAGGGCTTGTTCTTTCAACACCAAAAAAAGAGACTACAGCACAAGCAAGCAGACACAAGACACCAAAACGAAAAAATATGCCTCCACGAACACCCGTGCTGTGCCTCCACAGACACCCATGCTATGCCTCCGGGAACACCGATGGAAATCGAAGGTGCGCATGACAATTGTTAGCACCTGTGAACTGGATCAAATGGGGTGCCTCCACAAACACCCATGCTATGCCTCCGGGAACACCAATGGAAATCGAAGGTGCGCATGACAATTGTTAGCACCTGCGAACTGGATCAAATGGGCCCATGACAGGAAGCAACAAGGACAAAAGAAGCTTATTCCCCAAGGTGGAAGGAAGACACCCGAGGCACGACGCCCACAAGGGCAGGTGAAAGAAATTGACCGGCTGTAGAAGGGGCAAGTCGGTAAGCACCAATGGGCCTAGCCCAGTTGGTACACCCATGAGCTGTTGAAACACAGACCCAAGTTCGAATCCAGATGCAATCAGATTCTAAACTACCAGGAGCCAATCAATTCAATGACGAAACATCTCTGGGCCGCCGCCTTTTTGAACAAAAGCGAGAAGAAAGAAAAAGAAAGTCGGTAGGCTAGCTCAAGAATGGGATGAGAACAGCAAAGAAAGCAGAGTGAAAAGCATCAGGACACAGCCACCGAGATGCAAGTTCTCTAATGGAAAAATGCATTAAAAAATTGCTTACCAAGTCTCTGAAGCAGGTCAGCCCAACTTCCGTAAGAGTGGGTAAAGATCGACGCGTAATGAAGAATCGATCTAGGTAGTTGAAGAGCCGAGACATTGATCGCACCATCAACTTATGGTTGGACCATCTTTGAACAAGCTCCTTCAACATAAACTCCCCATGTTTCTCTCGCAAGGACGGAAGCACCTATCACAGCAACCGACATGTAAGTCAGCTCCACTATTCCAAGCAACATTTCCAAACACATGAACGAAAGAGGAAACACCTCACATGTGCATGCCAACCCCATTTCCCACATAACCCTCAAGGATTCAACACAAGAAGGCTTCAGACGTCAGTGCATCACCCAACTTTTGCACACCTGCCACCTTCTATTGCTCCACGTCGTCTGCATCATGTTTTCAATATCCGCCAAGCCACTTCTATTCATGCATTGTCACAACCATCCATCATCAACCAGATTGAGTGTGCACCTAGTCCGCACCTTGTCAGGATACCAGACTACATGAGGTTACAATCACATGTCACTAGGACACACAGAAATGCCATCACTCACAACAATTGACATAAGACCTGGAGATTAAAAAAAAAAAAAAAAAGACATAAGACCTGGAGATCTTGATCAATGGGAGAAGGACAAAACCCACCACTTCTTAACGTATTTTTCCTTGTGTGAATTCAAAATACTTTATTGAATTCACTATGGTGGTTCTTTAACCTTTTCGCTTCTTTTTTTTCCCCCCTTCATGAACAAATCAAATTTACTGATTTCGTTATTGCAAATTAAATTACTAGTTCATAATACCATGACCCACACAACATCACCCCTCACCTACTATAGTTCCCATACGCACACAACCCCAACCTTTTCTTTGTTCTTTCTTGACATGAATAACACATCACTAAGAGACAGTGATGCCATGACTCACAACAGCATAAGACCTGGAGATGGAGATCTTCATCAACGGGTGGAAGGACAAACCCCACCATACCATGATCCGTAAACTATCTCAACGTCACTCCTAACCTTGTATAGTTCCCATACCCAATAAAACCCCAATCTTTACTTCGTTCTTTCTTGACGTGAATGGGACCTGCCATGTGCCGGTTATAATGAGACAAGAGCACACTTGTATAATGAGTCTGTTCTCAATAATATTGCAGGTAAAATCCTGGCAAAAACGTGAATGGGCCCTGCAATGTGCGGGTTATAATGAGACGAGAGCGTACCTGTCCATAGACTGTTCTCAACAATCTTACAGGTAAAAACCTGGCAAAAAAGCTGTCAAGATGCCAACAGTCGTACTTCGGGATATTGGAGAAATGGCGTCACTGGTGTACCGTTATGCAGGTAACATTATTGTACCACCTGCTCTACCTTAAACTGCCGGTACATCCGAAAAAGCAGATTGCACCTCACCTAAAATTTTGGAGGCCATGGGCCGTCGACAAAATGAATCGGCGCTTCATGACCTCCTTTACTTTAGGAGAGGCTCAATCTCCTTCGGATGTACTGGTGGTTTCAGTATTGTAGAAATCGAGTGGCCTTAGTTCACTTTCAAAGTCATCAACTACCATCTTCACCCAAATACAACGTACGGTCATTATAGCTGTATTCGGGGCAACTTTGAGTCTAGCTACAGCAATAATGACCATATGTTGCATTCGGGTGAAGAAGGTAGTCATTATACTCTTCTCGTGGCCATGGTGAGCTTAGGTACCTGGAAGAATACTCTATCCAGGTGCAGGAGAAATAACACAATAACATACAAAAAGGGCAACCCTGAGCAACAAAGAGGTTCTCCAATTGTTTGCAGGCAAATCTCTAGGCCAAACCCTTTCCAAAGAACAACCAACTTTGTCAGCACAAAAAGACACTTCATCTATCTTCAATTCAGTTATCTCATATGCATGTTCCTCACAAGTCATAACAAAACACACCGTGTTCTTTTCTAGTTTCCTTTCCAGGAAGATGAGTAAACGAGGGTGTTGGGACGGGGCGGGGGTCACATACCGTGTTCTTGATGTAGACTTCAAATGACTCTTTGTAGCGGTCATACAGATGCTGCGAGTGATCGTTCGGAGGCTTCTGAGTGCACATATTGTACACATATCTGAACCATCATCCATGGATGGTACAAGCACCAATCTCTGGTCAAGGAAGCAAAAGCTGGTAGAGAGCAATACCAATCATCTTCGGCATGACAGACTCACCCAGACAAGTCGGATTTCAAACCGAACTACTCCCTCCCCCTTTTCCACCATTCATCCAATAGGACGAGATGGGTTCACTTGGCAATTCAAGTGACTTGTCCCCTCGTGGCCAATACATGAACTGCATTCAGCACTATATGAAGAGTAGATTAAACACCATAAGCAAGGACCGAGAGGTCTGCAATGAAAAATAACTCTGTGCTAGCACAGATCAGTTCCATATGTACCAACTCTGCTGAGGATCATGAGTTCCGGGAGCATTTGCGTACCATGAGTACAAGCTCCATACCTATGCTCTCTCTCTCTCTCTCTCTCTCTCTCTCTCTCTCTCTCTCTCTCTGTGTGTGTGTGTGTGTGTGTGTGTGTGTGTGAGAGAGAGAGAGAGAGAACCCACTCACGGTCAGCCTTGAACTGCCACAGCTGCCACAGATCAGTTCCATATGTACCAACTACGTTGAGAAGCTCTCCTCTGAGCACAGCGAACACAAACTCAACCACAACTCAGCTGATATCTACAGACTCTCTCTCTCTCTCTCTCTCTCTCTCTCTCTCTCTCTCTCTCTCACACACACACACACACACACACACACACACACACACACACGCATACACACACTCACTCTGTGCGTGTGTGTGTGTGTGTGTGTGTGAGAGAGAGAGACAACCCACTCACGGCCAGTCTTGAACTGCTGCAGCTGCCATTTCCTGGCTGCTTCAGACACTAACAGCCATACAAAACCCAAATGTTTCCATAGTTACTACCGACCAGGTTCGCCCATCCAACTTCTTGTGCCCTAATTGGCTGGCCATAGATCTACCACCGTTTTCCAATGATAATCATTCGCCCATTTTTTACTATACATTTTTTATCAGAAACATTCAAGCAGATAAGTTCGATCCAAGAATCTTTCTTTTTTTATTTCTTATTATTTCGAAGATAATCAGTATCGTTGCCACTTTCCAGCCCGTCATTCCACTCCTCTACCTTTCTCAGCCCCTGAGAATACTTTATGATCATGATGAGCGGAGTGCAATAGGCCTACAATGCTCCAGATGAATGTTCCTCGTGAATCTCTTCAAAGAAGGAAGAAGAGAATGAACAGACTATTTCGTTAATCTTCCACCCACGTCTGATAATTCGAGCCCTTACCCAAATGGGCGCTATGGAGTAACTTTAGCCCTGACATCTTGACATCCACATCACTCCTATCCTCAGCCCGCTGAAAGGAAAAGAGAGTATGGCTCCCTCCATTTCTCTTAGTACCAGATCCACTACCTGTTGCCCTGCTCTAAGATTGCATGCCCTCTCTCTCTCTCTCTCTCTCTCTCTCTCTCTCTCTCTCTCTCTTCCCAGCAGAAAGGAAAAGGCAGGTTGCCACCCTCTCCATTTCTCTCTTCATAGCCGATACACCGCCTCTCGCCCTGCTATACAATGGAAGACCAATACACCGCCTCTCACCCTGCTGTACAATGGAATACATCGCTCCATTTCTCTCTTCATAGCCGATACCCCGCCTTTTGCCCTGCTGTACAATTGCATGCTCTCTCTCTCTCTCTCTCTCTCTCTCTCTCTCTCTCTCTCTCTCTCTCTCTCTCTCCCCCTCTGTGTGTTTGTGTGTGTGTGTGTGTGTGTGTGTTTTGTGAAGACGGTAGAGCTACGTACGGCTTACACGAACTTGTCCAAATTCCATCACGAAACAGTGGCGCTTCTCATGATGGATCACAGTGGCATTGCGCATCCCCTCAAAGGGCAGGCTGACCCAGTAACATCGTTTGAGATTACCCCAAGGCAGGGGGGGGTAAGTGGCGAAGCGACCCACTGTTACTTAGCCTGCCCTGTGAGGGGATGCACAATGCCACTGATCCATCATGGAGAAGCGCCACTGTTTCGTGATGGAATTTGGACAAGTCGTTCGTGGAAGCCGTAAGTAGCTCCACAGTCTTCACAAAACCCAAAGAGAGAGAGAGAGGGCATGCAATTGTACAGCAGGGCAAAAGGCGGGTATCGGTTATGAAGAGAGAGAAATGGAGCGAGGGGTCTTCCATTGTACAGCAGGGCGACAGGCGGTGTATCGGCTATGCAGAGAGAAATGGGCCAGGGTGGCAACCTTCCTTTTCTTTTCTACTGAAGAGAGAGAGAGAGAGAGAGAGAGAGAGAGAGAGAGAGAGAGAGAGAGAGGAAAAGAGAGGGCATGCAATCTTAGAGCAGGTCAACAGGTGGTGGATCTGCTACTCAGAGAAATGGAGGGAGTCATACTCTCTTTTCCTTTCAGCGGGCTGAGGAGAGGAGTGATGTGGATGTCAAGATGTCAGGGCTGAAGTTACTCCATAGCGCCCATTTGGGTAAGGGCTCGAATTATCAGACGTGGGTGGAAGCTGAACGAAACACGGAAATGACAAGATGATAGAATGGTATAAGACATGTCGTTGATCCAACCCACAGAAGAGAGAGAGAGAGAGAGAGAGAGAGAGAGAGAGAGAGAGAGAGAGAGAGAGAGAGAGAGAAAGAAGTGGTCCATAGCGAGGACGAAGAGAGAGAGAGCCAGGATAAGAGGGGAGACAAGCGGGGGAAGTGCAGATGGAGTGCGCTGGGAGCGCAGCTCAAGAGAGAAAGGGAGACAAGAAAAGCTCTTGGGGGAGAGGCCAAGCCAGAAGTGGGAACAAGACACGTCTTGATAGAGACGCTGTAAGAGAGGGGGGAAGGCGAGAGCGCCCAGCCGCAGGCGGAGGAAGTGCAGAGTGAAATCACAGAGACTCCAGCACAGGGGGCCGGCGGGGGCGGACCGCATGGGAGGAAGAACAGGTTGGGATGAAACACGACGAAGAGAGACTTGGGATGACGTGAAGGGATCTCCCAGGACGACAGCGGGAGGTGAGAGAAAGGAGAGGAAAACGGCAAAAAACGAGAGAGACAAACGGGAACAATTTGGCGGGAAACCCAAGGCATGCAGAAATGGGAGGGAGGGTATTCAAGGAGGGAGGGCACGAAAAGGGTGGCATGCACCCTTGGTTGCACAATACCCAAGCAGCAGAGGGGCCGAGGGGGAAGGGCAACGAGACAAAACACCTGGCGGGGGGTGGCGAGAACGCGAGGGAGAGATGGAAAAAGGGAGGGAGGGTATTCAAGGAGGGAGGGCACGAAAAGGGTGGCATGCACCCTTGGTTGCACAATACCCAAGCAGCAGAGGGGCCGAGGGGGAAGGGCAACGAGACAAAACACCTGGCGGGGGGTGGCGAGAACGCGAGGGAGAGATGGAAAAAGGGAGGGAGGGTATTCAAGGAGGGAGGACGAAGGGAGGCAGACAGAGAGAGAGACGGGGGGAAGAACAGGGAAGAGGGGGAAGCCCCAGGAAGAAGCGAGCCCCTGGAACAAAGAGGTGGCGGAAGAGGGGATTGACAAGCTTTGTTAAACTTCTCAGGTCTAAAAACATATCAAAGGATAAAAGATTTTACGTACATCTTTTCACCTTTCGTATCATATACGCGTGCCCATGTGTTGGGTGACAAGAGTGAGAGATGCCCCTCAGAGCTGTGACGCAATGCCCGCCACGGGAGCGGGGGCATGGAAAATATCCCCAAAACGCCTAGATTACAGACATTAGCGCCCTCTCTCTCTCTCTCTCTCTCTCTCCCCCTCCCTCCCTCCCCCTACATTTATCCCCCCTCCCACCTCTCTCTGTCTCTCTCTCTCTTCCCCCCAATACATCCACTCTGTCCAGCGTTTCCGCCTTCCTGCTTTCCCCTGCTTGGCCTCCAGTTCCTTTCGCCCAAGCATCCGCGGCTGCTTTACCCCCAGCAGTACCCCCTTTCTCTTCATTCCCTGACAACCGATTGTACCCATCTCTCTCTCTCTCCCTCTTTCTTTCTTTCTACCCTCGCTCTCCATTGCCCCTCATGAAGGCACGTCGCTGATTATGACGTGTCCTCTCTCTCCTATCTAATCTCCGCCTCTTTCAAGGCCTCACAAATCAACCCACGTCAAATGCGTCGTCCTCGTCAGACCGCTTGATCGTGGCACGTTCTCGACAAGACGTTATACCCTTTCTCGACGCGATCCGTCACAACTCCTCCTGGTCGTGTTCTGGGATAATCACCCCCTCCAATTCCAATTCCTTCACTTCGTGTAACGGGCACTCATATCGATCAACTGCTCTCTCTCTCTCTCTCTCTCTCTCTCTCTCTCTCTCTCTCTCTCTC